CATATGTTTAAAGAATTCTTAACAAGCTATCAATCTTCCTTGTGATCATCCACAAGAGCAGTGAACTAAGAACATTCTTGTTTTAAATCATAATGTACAGTCTGCTGAAAAGACCACCAAATGAATTTTAACAAGTTCTAAATGACAAGACCTGATTACTGCAATAGAATTTCCAATTACTCTATCACAAAAGACTTTCAGACATCAGTGATGAAAGGCGTAATTTTCCATTTTTTCACTATGACCATCCCAACTGAATTGTTCTGAAAGAAACTAGCTTAAAACATGCCCTGCATATGGCAGACATGTATAGCATTTTGATTACCAACCTGTGATGTTTTTACTTCTGAATGTGTTTTACAGCCAACTAATGAGTAAATGGTGGTAAAGGATCAGTTGTTCAACTCGCTGAAAATTTCAGCCATTTGGTATTAATATACCTATCCAAAAATAAAACAAAATGAATTTTCTATTCAATTGATCTTTAGACATATTTCATTGTATTAAGATGTTAACGCTTTGCACCATGTAGAAACATTTCAACAGCACTGTTTCTATAGCACTGTAATCCAGATGGGACCTAAGGAAGGATTTAATCCTGATATCACACGTGCACAATAATGAAAGACAAGCAGGCCCCACAGCTGTTCTCAAGCTTTTTGCTTGTTCATTTTGGCTTAAAATGAAAATGTGTATGGGAGTGGGAGTTGGAGAAAACCTTTCAAACTAGATGACAAAGTCTCTCAAATAACCAGAAACTAGTAAGCAACAAAACCAGGCAGATGGTGCAACCCTCTTGAATCTGTCTTCTTGACAGCTTTATACTTATTGGCATCTAGAAAATGTTTTTTGTAGCATAAATTTGGTTGTGCTTCTGTGTTTAACTAATATGTTTTCTATCTTATTAAAGAATGTGAGGATTTCACTTTGTGAAATATATTAGTAGCAATTTTGACTGACTTTGGAGATTTGCAGGCTCAAGTCAAGCTTTCTGAGTTGGGTGTTCTGATAGTAATTTTGGAAGCAAACCTCACTTTTCACTGTCTATGGCAGGGAAGTAGACAAAATAATCTAACAGGTTTTTTCCACATCCAAACACCATTTTGTGACACTGTACCACCATCTCCATTTAAACAAATCCACCAACACAATGCCTAAAAGAATGAGGGAATATTTGAGATGGACAAGTCACCCTATATAATCATACGATTCTATTTTCCCCTAGTTTCCACCCCTGTTCTTTCTTTTAAACTTGTCTCGCACTTTCTTTCTTTTTTTTAATCTCGTCTCAATTTAGTTGTGAGCTGTTCAGAGAAAACACTGTCATTTATTCTGTGTTTGTGCAGTGCTGAGTACAGCGAAGCCCAATTCCTAATAGTGACTTCAGGTCTTAACTGCAAATGAATGTTTTGTTTGACTACTTATCCCATGCACTGTAAGGCTTCATTGCTTATTTATTTGAACAAGCAAAAGATATCACAAGATGGCACCCTAGAGCCGAGGTGCTCAACCTTTCTAGACTCAAGTCACTCCTCTATAACTTCTGTGAATCGAGCAGCACCCTACTTAAAAAAACTAATTTATTGATTGTGCTTACCTCCTTGCAGAGCAGCTGGGTAGTGGGGATGGGGCAGTGTCCAGGCAGGGATGAACCTAAACCTGCACTGTCTCCTTACACCTCACACCTTCAAAAGATCTTAAGGCACCCCAAGGTGCCCTGGCACCATGGTTAAGGATCACTGCCTTAGACTAACTGATTCAGAGGCATGAGCTTTTGTAGGCAACAACCTATATTGTCAGATGCTATGAAGCAATGGCAGAAAGAAATGGTTTTATATAGAAAAGAAAGGGACCAGGGCAGAGTGGGGGCGATACTACTAAAAGAGGTAAGAAGTTGGTTATTTGGATCAATTGAGATGAACAAGGCACTTAATACCCTGAGGGACACAAGTTCACAAGCACTTAATACCTTGAGGGACATGAGTTCACAGCTAGTCCACAGCTATGTAATGGGATAAACATACATAGTTCTTGTTGGAACCAAGGCTAGCACAATCCAGCATGTGGATGATTTATTTTTCTGCCATCCTGTGTTTAAGTTGGTTTTTAAAATTTCCTTTTTTTAAGGATAGCTACTCTTGAAGTCAGTGATGGAATGTCCAGAGAGGTTAGTGTTTTGTCACAGGTATTTATGTGTTACTGAAACTAATGTCAAATTGGTAGCCATTCATTATTTTACGTAGAGATTGCCTTGTCTGATCAATGTAAACAAGAGAGGGGCACTGTAAGCACGTGATGGTATATATGACGTTGGTGGAGGAGCAGGTGAATGGACCCCAAATGTTACAATTCTTGTTGTTTGGTCCAATGCTTTGATCAAGTGGTCTGTGTCAATGAGATGCCACAGATCCAGATACCAGCTGTGCTAAGGCCAGGTGACTTGATGAGATTTGTAGTAAGGTAGTCTGTTATTGGAAAGGCATCATTTGTGCTTGGTGGGGCACAGGCTTTGAAAAGTAAGACTGCTTTTACATCATTAAATATGTGAATATTATACTTGGAAATTTGAAAACTATTAGAAACAGAACTCAAACAAGACACCATATTTACCTGAATCCAAAAGGACTTTGAATTTAACCTCCCCCCCCCCC